TACTGTTGGCCAACTATCTTCCCACTGTTCTGTTTCCATTTGTAGGACAACAAATGCTATCATTTGCCATTTTGCCAAGTTTCTGGCCTTAAAACTTTAAAACTAAAGCAGAGAGGTTAAAAGCAAATTCTATACAACATAGTTTTACCAGGAGACTGGCAAAATATCTATGCAAAAAAGAGACTAAAGAAGGTTCAGACTTTAACACTCAGCCTCCTTTATTTGCAAAGACAGAGCTCTGTGGGTTTAGGAATTGTGATGGAGAAGTCTTAGTGTCATTTCTTAAACTTGAAAAAACAAGCACCAGTAGGTTTTTAACTCTTCCCATCTACAGGGACTTTGGTTCCAAAACTTCTTTTCAAGTTTTAACTTAAACAGTAAATGTTAAAATATTTAATCAGTATGTTTTATTGATTTATTACAAGTAATCAGCATATTTTAATAGAAATAATATAAGTTTTTTCCTAAAAAGAAAGTTTTAAAATAAAATATCTGACTGCCAGGATTGAAAGCTAGGTTTTGTGACCCTGCATATACTCCTTATAGCAGCTTAAATTTACGTTTTAAACAAAAGCATATCCTTAGTTACAGGATTACTTTTGTTCTTCTAAATCAAACAGCTTTCCAAATGAATAATGCTGTATTTCCTTCTGACATTTTCCATCAAGCTTCCACATCTGTGTTATCAAGCAAGCAGGCACCCAACAGTTCGGTACCCAGCAGCTGCAGAAGCCCACTGTACACTGGGGGTCGGAGGTCGGTCGGGGATGTTTTCGGCAGCAACAGTATTAACCACAGGCTGGGTGCCACAGGAGACTTGCATTCCCACTGGAGTCTACAAGGTTGCCAAAGGCATTCATTATAAAGAATTAACCTGAGATTAAATTATATTTCAGAGGAAAACCAAACTTGAAAAACTATTCCAGGCAGTAGTCTCTGGAGCTACAAGCAAGCAAATAACCTCTCCTCTGAGGGAAGAAAGGAAAGTACTGAGAAAACAAGACAAGGGATAGAGAAAACCCATTTGGTAGCTATTTAGCTATCTAAGTGGCAGAGTGTAGTATTAACCAGAAACAGCTTTAGTCTACAAGGATCCAAGTATTCAAGAAAAATGGGATCAGATAGGAAGGCAAACATTAGCAAGCTAAGAAAACACTGTTCGTCTTCATCTTTACCAAAAGGGGGAGAGCTTTGATAGCTGATTTATAAGCTGTTATAAAATCACAGTTCAGATCTCCTAAACTCTGCACAAATCATGCATGAAACACACTTCTCTAGTGCTAGAGACCTCAAATGAAGCTTCAAGGCAGATGTCAGCTCTGTAAGTTTGATAAAATCTTATGAAAAATGGCAGGCTTTCAGCCCCCTAGGCTCTCTCTCTTTGCTTTGAAGGAGTGTTACAAAAAGCAGGTTCCAAGTAAAGACAAGTGGAGCTATGGAACATCTCTCAGTGTAACAGAGGCAGGATGGAGAGGGAGGCAGGAAGGAGCCCCAGAGGACAAGTTACAGCACAGCACTTAGCTTAGCAAGGACCTCTCAGCTGGTACTGTCCCCACATGCACAGGCATCTGGAAGATGGCTATGGACTTTTTTTACAGCTTCTGTCAAATCTCAGTTACAAAGATAAAACAAAGGCATCCTTATGAGACAGGCTAAAATTGTCAAGACAGCAGTTTCTCACACTCCAGCCATCATTTGCCTCTCTAGTTCATGCTAATCAATAAAAACAAAACCCACTCTGGGCTGGGGGTATAGCTCAGTGACGGAGTACTTGCCTAGCATCATATGCCTCAGAAATAGACCCAGAACATCACAAGTGATTAACAGGTCTCCCTAAGTTCAAGACAGTATACATGTCATAAGCCATGCAGTGAAATATAATGGAGAAGCTGCGCTCGGTGGAGGATTCCTGTAAGCCCAGCTACTCAAGAGGATGAGACAGAAGAATGACATTTGAGTACAACCTAGGCTGCACAACAAGTTCCAGGGCAACATAGCAAGATCCCAGCTTTTAATAAAAAAAAAAAAATTACTAAATGTACTTTAAGGGATATTTTTGTTTTATAAGACAGGGTTCACTAAGTAGCCCAGGCTAGCTTCGAATTCACTATCCTCCTGGCAGAGTGGCTCAAGTGGTAAGGCTCAAGAGTGCCTGCCTAGCAAGCATAAGGCCCTGAGTTCAAACCCCAGTGCAGAAAAAAAAAAAAAAAATTCACTGTCCTCTTGCCTTTGCCTCCTTAGTGCTGAGATTCCAGGAGGGGGCAACCACACCTATCTGTTTTAAGTGATTTAAACAGGTGAGTATTAATAGGTCTAAAGTTAACTGGTAAAACCAGGATACAAATTTGAATATAAAATACAATTTCACACACATACCATCATAAATATAACTAAAAGATAATAATCCAAGAGTTAATAGTTATATTACCAGGAATGGGTGGGCTTTATTTCCTTACACTGTATAAAACACTGAGAATAAGAATATGCACACACTGTTTACACAATCAAAGAAGCTGTGCAGAGACAGTTCTATAAAAGGTCCTTTTAGAAGATACAAAAAATATCAAAGGGGAAGTAATTTGTAACATTCTCCTCCTCTTCCTGGACTCAGAATGACTTAGGCATCCTGTTCCTTACACCCACGACAACTGATCACCAAGTGAACCTTACAACCTTACCAGACCTTCTGTTTCTACTCCACTGTTGGCAGTTTCCTGCAAGCAGGAAAGATGGGCTCAATGCAAGAGTCTTCAGACGCCCCATCTCCACACCACACAGCAAGGCTCTCAGCCCACAGCCCCTGTGGAGTTGCCCTCTGCCTCAGAGTGCTTGCTTGTATCTGCCCACCAGGTGAGCCTACCCACTTCTGATGTACAGAAAGGATCTAAGAGCTGGTGCTGATGGGCAGTTGGTGAAGATGAAAACATAGGAAGCACTCCTTAGAGGAAGGTGGAGAGAGACACCTTCCCTGACATAAAGGTGAGGCAAGCTGACTTATGCCGCTCACCTAACAATGCTGCCTAAAGCAACAAAACTAGGAGAGGACTAGGGGATGCTGGATTGGAGAGGAGGGAACATTTCTTGTGATCTATGCAAGTTTAAATCAGTGAACATCTCTGAGACACACCACTGGGCAGTTTGGGGATAATGAAGCCCTCTGAAATGACTGCCTGCCAGACAGGACTCCTTTTCTCCAATTATCTCAGACCCCAGAAAAGTCACATTACTGAAACGGGAGACCTGGTACAGGCCACACAAGCATTACCATCCCTCCTCAGACTGCCATTGCCACAGCCTGTTCTCATTGCTTCCAAATTAGATCCTATCTAATCTATTCTCCTTGAGGCAGCCAAAGTGGCCTTTCCATATGCAGACCTGATCCTACCACTTCCCGCTGACAACTATGCCAGGACTCTATCCTCCACCCCCATCTTGCTATGAACCATTCTCAGTTTGGCTCTTGCTCGGCCATGAAGGCTACTTTCTCCCTGAGCTTGGCACATGCTGCCCCTCTATTATCAAGCTCCTGCTCCCACTCTGCACCCCACTCCACCCATGCCTCCATCCAGTCCACAGAACCAGCCACCTTAGGAGCCAAACTGGGGAGCCAAACCAGCCACACCCCCCACTTCTGGTCCACAGGGGAAAGGGTTGCTCCTTCTATGGGCTCGCCAAGCACCATCCTTACTCCTACAGTTCATGGCACTGAACTGAATCTGCCTTCTTTCCTGTTTGTTCCCCAATGTAACACTCTGCACACTATGACACCGCTGCACAGAGCACAGTGCCTGACACACACACAGCTGATGTGACCAAAAATATCTATGAAACAACGAATCCAAGGAAAGATAATAAAAGGAGGGGGATGTGGAAGAGGCATCTGCAAAAGTTTCAGGGGAAAAGGAGCCAATGATAATGTAGAAAAACCAAACAGCTTCCTGTATGGATGGCCTTCATTTCACTATGGATCAAAAAAAATAGCATAAAGTGCTTCAACACGTTTCCTAAGGCCATAGAAACTCCATGGAAGGCAGAGGGCTGTTCTGAAAAACACAAACAGTTGAGCTATTTCAAAAGCACCATTATAACTAGAAGAATTTTCATAATTGGAAGCTGACAGTAGTCACCCAGAGTCTATCCTTCATCTGTGATGCCTCTCACCCACCTCTCTTCTCCTCAAGTTTCAAATAAGTAACCCAGAAGAAACTTGTAAATGTTTTTCTGTTTAGGAGCCTGCATTTCTCTATGTTAAACTAAGATAAAAACTGGGGAAGCTTCTGGTATAAAAGAATTGTTTTTTGCTTATTTAAGTTTTTGGGTTTTCTTTCTTCAGGGTTGGGGATAGAGCCCAGGACCTTGAGCATGCTAGGCAAGCATTATACCACTGAGCTACACAGCTAGCCTAAAAGAATTCTCAAAGGGCTGGGGATGTAGCTCAGTGGTAAAGTGCTTGCCTAGCATGTACAAAGCCCTGGGTTCATTCCCAGCACTGCAAAAAATAAAACAAAACAACAGCAACAAAAAAAACTCTTTAAGGAGAAAAAATAATAATGACAGATGGTTAACTATACTTTATCATTGGTCAATCATGTCAATCTAAGATGGTTCATTTAAGATTCAACTTATTTTTAAAAACAAACTACAGTGAGATGACTGAAGGAGTATACGACTTTTATTTTAGATTTGGACTCCTTAGTGGTTGATAAGATTCTGAAATACTTGGAAGCAAAATAGATGATATATCTACATATCTATTTATAGATATGTAGATATATTTGAAGAATAAATACTAATTTTACTGTCTATTTTAAGATGCTATAAACAGTTTCACATAAATGTTTAGACATTACTGGTTTCAGGAAGAAAATTCACCCTACAATGAGTCTGCCATGCACCACTTACAGGCCATATGGAGCCCAAGGCCCTCAACACAACCAGTCCAAAATTAAACTTTCTTTGCTTATCTTACTTTTATTCTAATTCCTACTTGTTTTTCTTACCGGAATATAATAGATGCCCATCTTGGGGGTTTCGTTGGCAGTAAGAAGCATTCCTAAAAATAAACACAAATGAAAAAGTGAACAGGTAGAAAAAGAAAAGTAGCTTGTTCTATTTGTTTTATGTTTTGAAATGCTGGAGGGGCTCAGTATGAGGTGTCCAGCAGCACAGCTGAGCCTGGAGGCCTGGCACCCAACAGTCAGGTCTCGGACTTAGTCCCTGGCTCCACTAGACAGGGGACCTCAGTCGTCAGAGCATCCAACTTCCCATCTATGAAACAAACACCCAGGCTGCACAAGCTAAGACTATGAATAGCTCTCAATGAAGTGCTCAGGTCTGCACAAAGTTTGAGGAAGTTTTTAGCTTTAAACATATAGACAAAATGTAGTTTTGGTATACTATTCTATTAGACTAATAATGAGGAACTCAAGAGAAGTCTTCCTTCTTTGAATCAGGAACCAAAGAACCAAGGTAAAGTGTTCCCACGAAATGATACAGCAAACTCCCAATTTTTGCATTAAACTTCACTCTGATGAGAAAACAGCACAACAAAGAGGAATGTTGTGTGGAGCTACACCCAGAAAGACCTCATGGTGCCAGGGCTGTTTCCTCCTGAGGAGTTTTGACAGAATGAACTGAGTGGCCACATTAGTCTCTGTATACTGACAAGGTAAGAAAGCAAAACTGGCTTGCAGTAAAGGACTTTCTATATTCCCAGTAACAACAGCAACCTAGAAATCCACTATTCTTTAGCATTTAACTATTCAGGACCACAGTATTTACATGTCTCGGTTTTGTCTTTTTTTTCTCTGTCACTTTTACAACAAACTCCTCCCACAAGTTTGCTGTTGCTATCAGGGATATAGGTAATCCTTTATTGAAGCAGCTCCAACATGGCGAGATGCACTGCCAAGCCCCTGGTGGTCTCTGGTCCAAACTGCTGCCTGTTAAGTAAAACTGAAATCAGCAGCTGGGGGCATGGCGCAAATGGTAGAGCACCTCCCTAGCAAGTGCAAGGTCCTGAGTTCAAACGTCACTACTACTGAAAACTGAACTTGGCAAACACCTGACTCATCCTTTATAATATCCTAGTACTCACACAGATATTATCTTAGTGGACATGGAGCAACCTCTACATCACCAATCTCACCCTCTCTATTTCACTGATCAGAAGAAAAAAAGCTCAAAGGGACTGGTGGCCCAGTCATAAGCAAGGGAGGTTGTTAGAGCTAAAATTCAAATTCAAGAACTTTTGTTTCTAAATACTTTTACAGACCAACCAAATTGTATGCATTTAAAAAATCTATTTGTAAAAGACAATAGAGGAACTCCCAGAAGGAAGACATTTAGATCATTCAATCACATAATCACAATTAAATATACCAAATGTTAAGGACAATGATTTGATTGCTTTAAAAATTTTTTTTTCTGCCTTTCCTTCTGTTTGTACAAAAGCCTGCACAAAACACTGTACACAAGTGAAATGCTGAATGAAGATCAATTACATAACCTGGAGCCAATGGATCATGCCATAAAATACCTAAAAGCACTTAATAACACCTAGAAAAGAAGAATACGTTTCTAAAGAGCCATTTTTCACAGCTGTATATAGGCCCTCTGGAATCTCTCACCTCAGCCCTCGAGAATGTTCACTTGAGGTCACGGTGACCAGAAACACCTCACTGACTAAACTTCCCAAGTCTCCCCTAACAGCACAGCCAACGCTTCTCCAAGAGCAGCAGACCTGGCTACAGTAGTGTGGGGGAAAGAAGGAACATATTACCACAAGGAAGAAGGTTCCTGTGAAGATAGCCCCTAAGCCGTCTTCACTGGCTCAATCCCAGACATTCGACAATGAGCTTTCTACAAGAAAACACAACTGCACTTACCAGTTGCAGCTCCTCAAATTGAAGTATACAAAGAATTAGAGCATTTTCAATGGAGTAGACCAGGTGAATTACTACCAAACTAAAGTCAACACTGAAAACATAAATGACCTCACAAAGCCCAAGGTATGCGAAGTTTCTAACAAGTATAAACAGAAACAGAAGCCAGTGGCAACAAAGACCTAGCTCAACAGAAATTAAGATGAACACAGGCTAGAGTGCCTGCTTTGCAAGTGTGAAGCCTTGATTTCAAACTCCAGTCTTAACCCCCCTTAAAAAAAAAAAACACAGGCAAGAGATGAGCAAAGTGTGAGCCCTGTGCTGGGCATTTCAATTTCATACCCTCAGGAAGTTGAAGAAAAGAATTTAATCAAGGTTCCCACACAGGTAAGAGGCAGACTAGTGTCATTCTACTGACACTAGTGCCCATATCATATGGGACTGCAAAACTTCCCTAGCAACTGAGCTAAAATGAAAAGACTTCTTGCACAATCAACTAAACTATTAAACAGAGTTAGTCCGAATAGCATCCAGAAAAATGAAAAATGGCCCACCATTCACATGTAATGGTTGATTCTACTTCTTACAGTGGAGGGCTAGGGGTGGGGCTCAAGTGATAGAGCATCTACCGAGCAAGCCAAGGCCCTGAATTCAAACCCTAGTACCAAAAAAAAAAAAAAAAAAAAAAGATAATTACATGACTACTGTGAGTACAATTGAAAGCACATAAACACAGGATTAATGCAACAAGAATTTCTCTAATGAGATTGGTACTTGTGAAGAGACTGGTTTCCCTTTAAATTTCTCTTAATGTTTATTGTTCCCACAATAGAAATATCCATTTTAAGGAGAAAGAAAGACATCAGCATCCAGAGTCAAAAGAATATACCTCTAGTTTGAGCCAGTGCTCTATAGTCTAAAGCATGCCATCATAAGACAGTAACACAGATTTGATTAAACAGCACCCTGCCCAGGAACACGCACGTCAGCACTCATGTGGTGTGCGGCAGGGTGAAAGAACTCAATGGCTCACAAAGGAAAACCAGAAAGAGTTCTGTACAGCAGGACTCGTCAAAGTGAGCTCCCTGGGCTCCCCTCTGAAACTTGCTACTAGGGGAAGGTAAGTGCAGAAATTGAAAGAAACTTAGAAACTGCATTGCAATTCAGCACTGCAGTGTCATCCAAACATTTCCAGTAACTCTTTTTTTTTACTGTATTTTATAAAAGTATCAATCTGCAATGACCTAAAAATTTAAAAGCAAAACCCAAAAGAACAAAAATCCTGGTCTTTCATCAGTTACACTGGAGAAGCACCACACTAAGATGTGTGGCAGCAGTCACTCTCCTGAACAGCTCAGGGTGGACATGTAAGGACAGAACTGTGGACATAGTTGGGATGTGTCTGCCCCAGTTTAACTTATGACTGAAGGCACAAAGGACATCCACTGGTACCCACAGTTCTCCCTGTAGTCAAAGAATGCACAGGAATACCAAAAGACTACTTCATACTCCACAGTACAGGCAGTCTCCAACAGCCCTAGAAGGTGGATGACAAAGCTCAGGGTGGAAATGGGCAGCATTACTAAGCCTCAAACGAGCCCAAAGTCCATCTCTTCTCCCTAGCACTCGTTCTAAAACCACTGATCCTGCTCCCATAGGCCTGCATGGGACTTGGACGCATGAGCACACTGCCTCTGTAAGTGCCCTGACCTGCAGAGAGAAGCTCCTAGACGCACGGGAAGTGTACAAAGGGCTGAATGAGCAACAGAAGGGTGGTAAAATGAGCGAAGAAGGTGGGGCCATCTCTCAATATGCTGAGCAGTCTTGCTAACAGAAAGCATTACAAAACAATTGTCGTTATTAGGCGTTAGTTATTCCAGAATGAGCAAGTGAGCAGATAAAGGAGGCTCTGGCTTTTCTAAAATGTGATTAAGCCCAAAATACAGTCGAAGGGAAAAGGTGTGGCAATGCGAAGGAAAAAGCAAAGCCTGTAGAGCAACAGCATACGGCCGGGCCGCGGAGAAAGGCCGAGGCCACGCCCAACTGTGCCACCACCTCAAGGAACAATCGCTGGGTTAGCTCAGGTACATCTGACCACCTCTTACAAGTTATCCGAGTCATTCCTCTCTCTAAAACATCACTCGAAATCCCCCTCTCCAGAAAACCATACTTTGTAATAGAGAGATCCCTTAACAAAGGACAGCAGCCTTCTCCTTACCAACCCTGGGATGATCTGCTGTGAAGTGATCTAACACAGGGAACCTGGCAGCCCAGCATTAGCCTTACCCCAAATACTTAACCTAAACTTAAATCAAGTCCTTAGAGCTTACTGCAATTTAGATGAAATGCAGGGCCAGCGGAGCAAGCTAAATGACACCAGGAGAAACAATCACATCTATCCCGGAAGAGGATACTCTTACAAAACTGCTGGCCTGATCTTGGAAAAGTCAATGCCATGGAGAAGGGGAAAAAAAGATGGGGGACTCCTCCAAAGCAAAAATCCCAAACCACCCTCTGCCACCCTTCCTCACCCTTTCTTTCAACCTCAGCTCCACCTGCTTCACTACCTTCTTATATAGCCCAGACCCCCCACTTTAAGTCACTTCAATACCCCAACAAGGATCTCAGCATCCTCATCTGTAATGTATTCCTGAACTCTCCAGAATATGACTTCATGCCCACTCTCAGCATAAGATCCTTTGAACTCTCACAGATGAAATACAAATGACAAGGTCCACATTGCTGCTTCCATCTCTCTTTCTCTCTCTCTCTCTTCCCTCTTCTCCTTCTTCCCTCTCTCTAGCAGTGTGTAACTATAAAGAGCCCATTTCAGGAAGATTCTAACCAAGGCAGTGCCACACATTGTCAGGTAACTAATCCTATCAAGTTACCTAATTATTCTGACATCCTAAGAAAGAAAAAAGAAAAACAAGAAAGGAAGGAAGGAAAGAGAGAGAAAGAGATAAAAAGGGTCATACAAAGATAAATGACAAATTTGTTTTATAGCATCCACGTTAACACCATAGCATTCTGTAAGTCTCTGTTTTTCCCTCTGGACCCCAACTGCTGTGTGCTTAACTCTGCTGAGCAAGGTCCCTGACTCTCCTGTCCAAGGTTCCTCTGTGCTTCAAAAACACTGTGAGGTTCTTTCCTATGAGGAAAGAACCTGTCCACTCCTGTAAGGTTTCTGCACTGGCTCCTCCTGCCTCTCCCTCTAAATGATCCAGCTCCTGCTCTCTGCCTATCTCACTCCCCTGGTTCCCAATGCGTGATCTCATTCTCACCCACTTCTTCGGGGATAATCTCTATTTACCTGTCTCAAAACTTTCTCTCTGCACACTGCTTACCTTGAGACCACATGTATCACAGTGCACCAGATGGCTCCCAGGTGTGGCTCTGTGGTCAGTACCATGACTGCTGCATCACAGTCACCTGGGAAGCGTGTCAAGACACATTTATGAGCTCTATCCCTGGACTCTGAATCACTAACCTAGAAGAGGACAAGGACTCTGTACTTTAAAACCTCCCCAGGTGACTCTGACAGCAGCCAGGTCTAAGACTCTGTCAGACACTGCCACTGCCCCATCGTCTCCTAATACTTAAACTATAGAAAAGACACTATCTTTCTCTCTAAGCCTGCTCTATCACATGTGCTCCCCACCGTAACACAGAACACTACTTCCTACTCATTTCAGGTCCAAACAGGTCCACTTATTTATGTGCATAGGCCTTCTTACGACAGACAGAGCCCAAGACACACAGATCTGTCACCTCTGGACCTTTACCACTTGCTCCCACCTGTCTTCCCATCTCAGACCTCCCAGAGCCACCACAGCTCAGCTGTGTGAAGTTCCCCCCCTTCCCCTACAAGCTCAATGGATTCCCTCCTTCACGCTTTTCCAAAGCTGTTCTCTCAGTGGTTCACCTCAGTCCCAACTCCATCTAACATGTTTTCAATCACTGTCCCCACACAAGGCCAACAGAAGCCTCCTATGCTCTTCTCTTGTGCTCTGGTGAAGAAACTCCCCTCACATGTTGGCACAGTGTTATCTGTAGACATGACAGAACTTTCCATCAGAATTAGTGGTAGATCCTGCACTGGGTGTACACTGCTTGCGAGTAGGAACTGCTCTCCTTCTCTCTCACATCTCGAAATTCTTCAGATTTGCCTTGAAAGTATCTATCATGTGACTTGGTGAACAGCATACGACATAAGATACAGAAAAACCCATGGCTTCATGAGCCATCTGTATATTAAGGCAACTCCAGCCTCCTCTAAATCCTTAACTTCAATTTCCACACACTATTACTAATCACATAAAAGAGCTAAGGAGCACAACAAAATAGCATTTCACTGGCCGCCTACCTATATACTCTTACTAGTTTCTACTAATAGCTAGGCAGGCTGAGGACTGACTGAGTCATTAAGAGAGCCTTTTTCTGAATCATCCACACCACTTCCTGCTCTTTATTCTTCCAAGTAAATAAAATACCCAAGAATTGTTCTAACCAAACTAAACTCTATTTTAAGAAGTAAAATTAGGTTAAAATCCAAAAATGCATAGTGAATGTTTATCTCACTGAACAACTAATCATTCATTACACACTGCATACCTGAATTGGGATACAGGCAAACATCATTAAGGTCATGTTCTGGCTCCAAGGAAGTAAATATTTTTCCCTAAAATAGTAAGTAAAAATGAATTATTAAAATAGTTAAAACAGCTTTTGGCAATGGAGACATACATAGCTACTTACTGCTACATAAAGAAATTAAAAAACCTAAATAAAGAATTTAGATTTGAAAAATCTTAAGAGAATTTGTTTTATCAATTTATCGGATATTCTCATTTAGAAAGGAAGAAACTGAGGCCCAGAGAGGTGCCTTATCTGAAAAGGAAAAATTTTAAAAATCAAGTTTTAAAGGTAATGGCTACATGGTAGTAAAGGGTGAAGTTTAAAATAAGTTGTGGACCAACTTTACACAAAAGTTGCATAATCAGTGACATATCCACATTTTAACTTTTAATTAATTAAGAAACTGTTTAATGGTGAAGACATGGCCATTGTGGTAAACAAGGACACGTGCCATACCTGTAGCAGAGCTTAGAGGAGGACCATGACAATGCCTATGAGGTAGCTGGGGATATAGCTCAGTGGTGAGTGCTTGCCTACCATGGTCAAGGCCCTGGACTCAATTCCCACATCACATACACACAAAAGACAATGTATGTGAAATACAAAACGAAACCTGATAAATATGTAAAGTGTTAGTTATTACATAGCTAAGGCTGAAAATGTCTACTTTACATGAAGGGGAAATTATTATATTTTTAAAATTTAAAAAGAAAAAAAAAAGAAGGTAGGTATAGAGAAAGGTGATGAGAAAGATAAAAAAAAGGAAAGCAAGCCACGCAGAACCAAGTAATCTAGGTGTTAAGCAAGAGGAAATATTTAGTCATAAGAAACAAAAAATGCCAAAATAAAACTGATTGTAGCAATTACAGTCTGATGATTTCAAGCAGTGCTGCAGACCAGTTCTGCCAGCTCTTGCAGTTAGAAGTCATTAGAAGACTGACACTAGGACAGGGCAGAAGGGGAGAGGAGCTGGAGCCCAGGGAAAATGGTTACTTCCTGCTCCATGAGATACACCAGCCAAGTTCTTATTCAACACAAACATCAAAACTCATGCAGGTACCTCTCTTTCATCTCAAGTTCCCACTGAAATGGGAAGGAAGAAGAAAGGAAAATGAAGGAAGGGGAAAGGGAAGTACAATGCATGGAAAAAAAAGAAAAGGTGCCATAGGTTAAAGAAATCTATATTCTGGAAAATGCAGTAGTTAAGGAGCCTGGAAAGACATATCCAGGATGATTAAGGATATGTCTTGAGGTACCTTGAGGTAGGATGGAAGCCAGGCCAAGGTTAACTTCACCAGTATTTTATAAATTTTTAAAAATAAAAATGTATGCATGTATAGTATTAAAAGTAAACAGTATTTTAACATCAACTAGTTTGGCTTGCCAGAAAAGGAGCAGAGAAAAAACTGAGTCTTTCTGAGAGAACTCTCAATTCCAAGCTCACAAAGGCAGACAGCAGAGTCGTTCCCAGAGCAATAATTGAAATAATTCTTCCAAAAAATTAAAGCCATCCTCTTCTCTGTAACTTACACAGTCACTAGAATCTAGGATGGAATTAGGGCCTAGAAGAGGCAGAACACAGCATCCCAAGAAAAATTGAGTGGACAGGACAGATCCAGCGGGCTAAAGAAAGTGAGGTAAGTGAAGCCTGCAGAGTCAAAAGTGAAATGTAAAAGCCACACAATGGTCTGAGAAGCCAAAGATGACTCCAGTGGCTGCCTAGAGGCCTGTGCTCTATGCACAGCAGGCCCCTGCAGACCAGCACCTGCCCTGAGGTCATGGACTCTGAGGACTCCAGGCCTTCCTACCAACTTTATCTCAGGGAGGAAAAGTTTTAAAAGTGACACTTTTTTTAAGCTACTGATACTAAGTTTCACAATTCTTACATGTTAATTAAAACAAAAATTTTTTAAAATTCTAAGTTTCCAATTACCTAAATGCAAGGAACTCCTGTCTTATTTTTATTTATATTTTTTTAATACTGGATTTTTGAACGCAGGGCCTGTGCTTGCTAGCTATGCACTACTTGAGCCACACCTCTAGCCATAAACACAATGAACTCCTAAAAGCAACTCCTGTGCTGAATGCATTTTTACAGTTTAGTGGATGAACTTACCGACGACTATTTTCTCAAAATACTTAGGTTTTAAAATGAAAACTGAAAGCTAAAGGAAGATTAAAACCAGCAATCCAGGATTTTGCTACTTTTTAAATGACATTTGAAATCAAGGGGAAGGAACATCAAAATATTTTTAAGAAATTAAGTTTGTAAGAAAAATAATTGTGGTAGACTGCCTGCTTAGTAAGTATGAGTCCTAAATACACACACACACACACACACACACACACACACACACACACGCACAAATAGTAAGGGCTGGTGGAGTGGCTCAAGCAGTAGAGAGCCTGCCTAGCAAGTCTAAGACCCTGAGTTCAAATCCCAGTACTGCCAAAAACAATGATAATAATAGTGATAATTGTAAGAGATTCTATAAAGGTGTCATCTCTAAAATCTACTTGTTTGAGGTAGAGAAAAGATACCAGGAGCTCATGAACTCTCACAGGGTTGTGAGAGAGCCAAGACCTTGGAGGTTCTCAGGCACACACCTTCTTAAACAATGATTTCTATCTACCTAACTCAACGTCTAAAATACATGCCAGTGCTAGCAAATCAGGAAAACTTTGTATTACTTTACCCAAATGCAGATATTATCTACCCTGAAGTAACTGACAGACAAAGTTCCCAAATGGGTACTCAATATCTTTTTCAAGAACACACATAACTCAAAAATGACAAAAGAAAGAAAATGAGCATGAGGATCACATACAAATAAAAGAGGAAGAAATTTCAACAAAAAATACGTACTGAGTTCTTATTCCACATTTTGATAATTCGCGAGTCTGCAGACAAAATCACATCTAGTGAGTCCTGGAAATGAACTGACTTAATAGGCAGTCCATACTGGTGATCCTTAACTAGCAAAGGTTTATCAGATCGAAGATCATATAATAAAACCTAAAAGAAAAAAAAAGTTACTACTGTTCAAACAAACTAAATATTTTACCTTAAAAAGAAACAGCTGAAAGTTAAAACAATGACTGCCATCTGTCTCACTGCCTTTTATGAAAACAATAATCACCCTTACTCAGGGTGCTAACATTCTAAAGACAGCCAGCAACACTCAGGAAAGTCTTTTAAGTTATCCTTAGACTACATAGTTTTATGAATTCAATTCTGACAGTACTGTTTAGACACACTAAGTGTGAGTACTACTGATCTGTTGTTAATTCAACAAACACATACTGAGGGCACTGTCATAGCAATCTATACAAATGAGAATAAAAGGCACACTGAGGCATAGTCCAGGTGGACTCAGAATGCTAGGAGGAAGGGAATCTTCTGCCTCTGGTCATTAGAGGCAAGGGGCCCTGAAAAACTAGGTCTGAGTCCTAGGTGAGGGCCCCTCCCATCCAGGATGACAGAAGTAGTAATCAACTCAGGCAGGTCTCAGATCTCTTGTAGGGTAAGAGCAAACTTAGAAGGGTGCGAGCTCTGCCTCAGAAAGAGGGAAAGATGAACCTCCCAGGACCAGCACTGCTGATGCAGGCCCTGCTGACCACTCACAGCACGGGATGCAGGTTTGGTGCTATAGTCTTGGAAATATCTATTAAACACTTCTTGTCTGCAGAATTCTCAGATCCTTCAGTATGTATTTAAGCCCACTGTCTCCAAGAGTAGAAGCCTGGCAGAATTCCACATATACTCTGGAAAATAACATTCCACACCCCAATCAAGAGAATGCCTGACATGGGGGATGAGGGAGAATGACAGTGGTGGGAGAATGATGAACCCAATTAGGACACATTGTAGTCATATACGGAAATGTCACAATGAAACCTCCTGTACAACTAATATACGCCAATAAAAATGTTCAGAGAGAGAGAGAGAAAGAGAGAGAGAGAATGAATGCCTGACAGGAGGATCACGGCTTCTAGCCTAGCCTGGGCTACATAGCGAGCTCCAGGCCCAAAATGACAAGGTTCTGGAAGAATCCAGCATTTTGGAGCAGCCTCACCACTCTTGTCAAAACAGTAATGCCTCATTCTCTGTTTACAGTATGATTTTAGAAAGACACGCCTCTGAAATACTGCGTTACACGTGAAGTTTCCAGCTTAAACATTCACCTGTCCCGTGGATGTTCCAACTGCCATGGTCAAGGCACCATTAAACTTCAAAGCAGAGATGGTCGGCAAGCTGTTTATCCTGAAAGGCAAAACATCCATGTTCCATGAATGTATGGTCAAACCTCTTCCTAAGTAACAAGTTCATTAGTAATCTTCATTTCACTTCTAACAGGGAAAAATCACATTTCTAACCTTTTGTTTAGAGAGAAATTGCATCCAAACTTCATAATCAACATCAAAAACATACTTCACATACAAATGCAATCTACCTTCATCTTCCATTTTAATTAAGCCAGGACCAGGTATTTTCAGAAACTCCCATTTTTACTTAAGAAGAAACAATTTTATTTTTGGACATAGGCATACTTATTTCCATTTTTAAATTAAGCAGTGGGCACCAGGTGTGGTGACACAAGCCTATAATTTCAGCTTCTTGGGAGGCAGAGATAGGAGAATCACAGTATAAGGCCAGCCAGGGCAGAAAAGTTAGTGAGACCCTATTACAAAAAGAAGCCAGGCATTGTGGAAGATACCTGTAATCTCAGTGACTGGGGAGATGGAGGTAGGAGGACTGCAGTTCCAGGACCAGCTCAAGCAAAGCACAAGAGCTATCTGAAAACAAACTGAAGCAAAAGGGGTAGAGTATGACTCAAGTGGTAGAGTGCTTGCCTGCAAGCCTGAGGCCTGAGTACTGCCAAAAAATAAAGACAGAAAGAAACAAGTAAGTAAATAAAAATTATCCAGCTAAAATAGAAAACTAATCCCTAAAGAGGATCCTGGTCTCTAAAGCACCAAGTACAGAATGAAGGGCACGGCTACAACTCTAGAATATGCCTTGTACCCACCAACCAACGAGCATGAGTACCAAAAGCAACCCATGGTGGAAACAGAGCTAGATGAAAGTCAACTGTCCTGTTTTTAGTACTTATGCTCTGTGTGCTGTGGCCCAGGACTCCAGGCCAGGCTCTTGGCTTTAAGCATCCTCAAGCCTCCTCTGCCACCCAAAGCCTTGGCCTGGAACTGCACTGTGAGGCCTCATGTTCACACAGTTTCAGTTCTCTTCAAAATTAACACTGGAATAACTTTTCAGCACAGTGACATCTTTCTGTTCACTTACCAAATTTTCCTTTTTAATGAATTTTGTCATTAAATTGAATCCTTCAGTATTTTATAATTTTTGTTGTTATGAGAACTTCTATCCAGTATATTCTTCTAACAGGACATTTATTTTGTAACCAATTCATTTAACTTTCATATTAATTCTTACAGCTTTTTGGTTGATTCTGAGTTTCTCAGGCAGACATCATTTGAATTGTAAATAATGTGAGACTGCTTCCTCTAGCCAGTATTTACACTTCTTTCTTTCTCTTACAGAATTTGTTCCAACTGCTAGATCTATTAAATAATGGAAGTGACAGCTTACAAGGTTGGTAGGAAAAACATGAAGGTAAACATAAATAAATAAATAAATAAAATCACTTGAAACTGAATGAGCAAGGAAATCTACTTTTAACATTTTGGCATACCTCTGGATTTTTCCCATGACTGTACACTTACATGCTCATTGTTCTTCTTATAAAAATGTGGTAAAACTATAAACAACTGTATGATTTGCTTTCCCAAAAAAATATGTATTTTGAAAATGAGTGTTTGCATTATTCTTCCTTACTAAGAAATACGCTTCTGAAACATAACTCTCAAAACTAAACAGTATGTATGCCATACAACATGCCTATAATCCTAGTTATTCAGGAGGCAGAGATCAGGAGGATCGTGGTTCAAAGCCAGTCCAGACAAATAGTTCTCCAGACCCTATCTACACAAAAAACTTAAAAATAAAAATAAAAATAAATGCAAAAACAGTACTTAGAACAAAGGGTTACTGTTCTATAGGAAAGAACTTAAAACAGTACCAGGCAAATGGAAAGTATGGTCAGCTATTATTTCTATCAAGCTTTATTTAATCAATATCCTCTGGCTTTTTCTAACACTAAGATTAATAAAAATGAAGCCAGGCATGTTGGTATGTGTGTCTGTCGTTCCAGCTACTCAGGAGGCTAAAGGAGGATTTCTTGAGCCCAGGAGTGGAGGCCAGCCTAGGTAATAAAGTGGGACCTCCTCCCCACCCTCACACCCCTCCCCCTCCGTAAGCTCAAAAACAGAGTGAGTAACCATACAGAGGTAGATGCCTGGGCTGAGGAGAGAGGGAACATTCTAAGAGATGGGTCGATGTTGAAACGGACACTAGGTACTTTGTAAGGCAATTTAGCAATGTACCAAAGCCTTGAAAACGTGGATGCTGCTTAACCCAGAAATTCAGTTTGAGGTATTTTCCCTCAGGAAATAATCACTGAAATGGAAACAGTCATCAGCACCAACAGAGGTCTGATTACTTGAATTATATCTGCCTTGTTTTCAGTTTCACCTTCTTTTTTGTATGTCTGAAGCCACTTAGCATCTTTTTTATACTAAGTATAAGTCACTTTTTCAAAATAATAAAATTATTTTTAAATAAAATATACTTTATCATGCAACTGAAAATCCCTTACTTTAAGGAGAAACAAACTAGAAAAAAATGTCAATCAACTTCTATTTTTAAAAAATAAACAAAATAAGTACTCCCACATTTCTCAAAACCAAGGCTAAGATTATTATTTCACATCTCTTCCTTAGATTGCCTCCATTATTTCTATTGTAGTCACTGAATTTCAAGTAGCCTCAAGACATTGCAAGTAACTCCTGCTGACCTGTTTTTCTTAAATGACTTTTCTTAAATGCAACAATTAATGACAGAGTTTGTACCAGAGCCCAACTCTATTCTAATTCAAAGGGAAGTCAGTGTCTAAGAGTAAGAGAAAATTACTCGCTCTGCTTCCTAGACCGGGTAAATATCTTTAAGTTATAATTGATTTTCTTACTTACCAAAAATAGGCAAGTTTCTGATTTGTTTTCTTTCATACCAATAAAATAAAACATTAATATGCACTTTACATTGTTTTATTCTATTAACAAATACAGGCGTGGACTTCGACTTAAAATAGTATAGATCAATATACCAGAGTGTAATTAATGAAGTTGCTTATTTATATTACTTTAACATAAAACTCAATAGTAACTAGAAGAAATAAGTGTTCCTGTGTTCACTTTAAATGTCATAAATAAAAGATGAAAAAATTAATTTATTCTTTATTCACCACATAAAACAGAACTTTTATGCAGTCATTCTTCATTTTTTCCTAGGCCAAGGAAGCTTCACATAAAAGGATTTTTTCAAATAACCATGAATTCTTCTCCCCCTCCACACGCCCCCCCCCCCCTCAAAAAAAGGAAATCACACAAAATGTTGTAGAAATTGAGAGGTTCGTGGTCTCTTGGTAGCCTGTAGTCATCAAACATCTGCCTCCCTGTGGTGTGACAATGGAATGTGTCTAAATTCTCCCAGGACTGAAATGAGGATGTGTTGGTCAAATCGCAGCACTAAGAATTCCAAGAGCCCAGGGGAAAAGCAGCATGTAATTGCATATCAAGGGTTCCCTGAGAAAGCAATCTACCTGTGTGCCATCATACTCACACAGAAAAACACCTGAAGGGTTAAGTGCCAAACTGTGGAACCATCACCACTCTGGTGAGTGGAGGAGAGACAGGGACTTTTTCTTCTTGCTTAACTAAAGCCTCTACTTTGTTGGAGGCTTTTGTCCTCCAAGTATTACTTTTCTGTGTGTTTAAGTGTAGGAATTAGGCAAACTGGAGCAACAAAAAAGCTTGCCTTAGTGGTTAAAGCACATCTTCTTGAGTGGAGGTGTGGCTCAAATGGTAGAGCACCTGCCTAGCAAGCACAAAGCCCTGATTTCAAACCCCAGTAGCACCAAAGCCCATCTTCTGGCCTGTCAGCTTTAATAAGAAAGGATTTTGATGTAAAACAATCACAGACACTACAACTTCAGGTATGAGTCCTAAGGGTTTCAAACATAGCAATTTATCTTATTGATAACACTGATATTGATGGACAGTCACACTGCAAACTAATTTATACTTACTCTGAATCTGCTGTGACACTCCTCAGTGCGCAGTCTAACACACCAACTCTGTTCCGCATTCTGGGATCCCAGCATTCCACTCGGCCCTACATAAATAAAAGCCAACTTTTAAGAAAAGCTGCTCTAGAAAAAATCCAAACACATACAAAAATAAGTTTACTAACATTGATTACTTCATGCAGGAAAAAAAATGTAACCTTATAACCTTTGAAGTACTGTTTAAATATTTTACAAGGAGCTGATATTCTTTTATAACTAGAGAAAGAAAAAAACTAGCAATGAAAAGGTCCAAAATGTAATGCATGATCCTTGATTGGATGGTGATAGGGAAAGAGCCATGAAAGACACATTCGTATAACTGGGGAAATTTAAATACTCAAGTATCATATCAATATTAAATATTTCATATTGTTACGTTAAAATTAAATTTCTTTATCAACGATGGTGAAGAGGAAGATAGCCCTGGAACAGGGTTGTAAAACATGGTAAACTGTCAATTAAAAGCTGTAACCTCGGACAGAGCTGTGAGGAATTGCCCATTAGAGCCCTGCAAAAGCTCAGGACCGAGATAAGAGGCACCAAGCAGAGATAAGCACCCATTCCTGCCCTTCTTTGTCTCCACTTGTAAATAAACTTCCCAAAGCAGGTCTCCCCTGCTGTTCTTATCTAAACAACACTAGGTTCCTAGCTCACTACCAGCCCAATTAACCTAAACAATCTAACTCACTGGTTAGGACACCATGACCTGAGCACATCTTTGTAACCTGATGCCCTAACACTACCTTTTAAATATCTTGTGAATCCTTTGTTCAGGGCTCAGACACTGGTACACGTCTGGGCCCGCTAGCGTAAAAATAAAAAAACCTGAGTTCTCCACTCCTCTGAGTGTCGCTTGGTTTCTCCTCTGACTACCCTGCCATAACAATGGTATTAGGAGCTTACAGGAGAAGTCCTGATAGGTTCTGGGAGTTTTTTTGAGATGGGGGAGTTGCCCAGGCTGGCCTTAGACTCCTAAGTTCAAGTGATCCTCCTGCCTCAGCCTCTCAAATAGCTGGGATTATTGGGTAAGTCTTTGTTTTTAAGAAATACGTATTAAATGTTTAGGATAAAACTGTCATAATGTCCATGACTTATTTTCAAATGGTTTAGAAAACACCTTTAAAATATACACATTTTTATTTAAAAAAAAAAAGAGAGAGAGAACGTAAATGTGCAAAATGCAGGTAAATGATTACTAAAACATGTGTTTAACATTTCTGGAGGTATGTAATTTTTATAAAAAGCTATGGTATATGTGTGTGTGTGTGTGTGTGTGTGTGTGTGTGTGTGTGCTGTGACTCCAACTTAGGGCCTCACAATACTAGGCAAGTGCTCTACCACTGACCTATGTCCCCAGTCTGGAGGAAAATCCTTTCTTAAAAAAAAGAGAACTGCAAACAACAGAGCAAGGAAACAACTGTCTCCCTTGGGACCAGGTGTGCTTCAATTTAGCATTTTTTCTGATTGTTTGACATCTGCATACACACAATGAGACATCTTAGGGAAGGGGCCCAATGACAGTCATTTGTGTTTCATATATACATTACACACATAGCCTGAAGATAATTTCATACAATATTGTTAATGATTTTGTGCATGAAGCAAAGTTTCATGGTGTGGAATTTTCACTTGTGAGGTTGGTGTTCAGGAAGTTTCAGATTTTGGAGCATTTCAGAGTGCAGATTAGGGATGCTCAGCCCGTACATCTATTTAACAGAACCCTACTAGAGCCACACTAGAATTGTGCCCAATTATTAACAGTGTCTACCAAAGGAAATGACTGGTATAGGGTAGAAACAAAGAAAACACCTCACTTTGTACTCTATCATTTGATTTTGTAATTTAAAAATACACAGGACTTTTAAAAATGTTTATGAATATATTAACTGCCTTAAAAGCAAAATTGTGAATATACCTCAGAGGATTCCATCTCATTAATCTTTCAATGTTATTACAAATATGTGTGAATAAGGAAAAGAAATCTTATAGAACACAGAGCAGGTAATTCCAAATAGTATAGTTTTCTTTCTTCTTGAAATAATAGACTTTATGGAAATAAAAAAAAGTCACCTTTCAAAACAAATAATGGATATATAATTCTACGATAAATAGAAAATGGCTTTTAGCCATACTGATTTTCGAAGGCCTAAAACTTAAATATTTCTACTGCTAAACCTCCACTCATACAATTCAAGCCACAAAATTCCAATACTCACTGTCTGATAATATTACATTATAATAACTGTCACAGAAGAAAACAACCCAACATATTATCAAAAATAATGTAAAAATAAACTCTGAGTCCGATCTGATTGTGGTTATCAAATCGCAAGCTACAGTAATTAAGAATTTCAGGAAGCCCAGCCTGCTACTGACTCCTCAATAAGCCCCAGGGCTGATCTTCACACACCTGGTAAAGAAGCAGCCCATCTCAATACACAGCCTCTCGTATAGAGCACACTTCCTGATGTCTTGCCTAGATTGCTCTGTGAACACTCTGTTTAAAAATTAATTTCTAGGCTGGGCATATAATTCAGTTGTATGTTTACCATAAGGCCCCAGGTTCAATTCTCAGCACCAAAAAAAAAGAAAATACAAACAAAAAACTCTAATTTTTGAAGGATGCTATTTTAAAATCTCCCCCTTGGTAAAGTGATTACCAAGAGAATGACTCATTGGTAGCATGCTAGGGTGGAACCCTATGAATACTAGGGTAGAGCTCTACCACTGAGCTATATCCTCAGCCCCAGGTTTTTTAAACTGGCAAATAGGATTCCATTGTTTGAATGTTCTGTAATTTGTTGAACCATCCCTATATGGATGAACTTAAGGTTTACTCAAAAAAAGTTTTTTAGGATTTAAAATAGGACATATGAGGTTGATGCTAACAAGAAATACACATTAAAGGGCTAGGGACGTAGCTCGGGGGTAGAGCACTTGCCTACCATGCTCAAGGGCCTGAGTCTCTCCACAGCACTAGAAAGAAAAGAGAGAAGAAAGAAGCAAGGGAGGAAGGGAGAAGGGGAGAGAAAGGAAGATGCATTAGAACACTACTGTTGAATGTGTTATGATAGAACAGTCAGGTCGAAGAAACATTCTCTTGGTCATCACTTTTACTTGAGGGAGATTTTAAAATAATAAAGTTAACATATGCTTACCTCTATTGTTCCTGTGGCAAATAAACCATGCACTGAATTTATGTCACAAACATTATTCTCCCTAAAATAGCAAAGCAACAAGGTAGAACATATTGGTTAGCATCTGTTTTGTTTGGGTTTTTTTGGGGTGTGTGTGGGGGGGTGGGGGTTATTCTTTAAACATTCTAAATCAACAATCAATCCAAATTCTGTGGGACAATATGATATATTTGATACATTGTAAGAACGTTTGTAAAAGTACCCCCAGCACAGCAATAAAAAAAAAAAAAATTCTGTGGGACAGAGATTAGCAGATTCTCTCATTTATCTGCAAATGAAAAGACAGCAAGAAATGAAAAGCCACCATGGCATGAAAAAGTGAAGTGTTTGGCTCAGAGACACCAGAGTTTCTGATCCCCAGGTGACACTCTGTCTGGCAGATGACAAACAAGGAAGCCCTTCTTTCTGAAACACTATTCCACCACCATGAGAAGAAAAGGGTCATTCTATTTTCTTCCAAGGCAAAGTTGCACTCTTAGGAACACAGTCTATCACTATGACAATTTTGAGACCTGTGCATATGGATCTAAGCCTCATTTTCTTTCTCAGTGCAGTGAATATTTCACCTACCTCATTAGACTATTGTGAGAATTAAATGAGATGGACTTTAAAAAGCTCAGCAATGTCCAGAATATAGAAAACACTTAAATAGTTGTTATATACAAGAAATTCTACAGTAAAGAGCAGATACATTTTGAAAGAAAGTAAAAACATTCAATGTTGAAGTGAAGTATCTGGAGAGTTTACTAGCTTTTTAATCATTACATGTTCTTCTAACCTTTAAAAATCCTCTCAAAGCAAGAAGTCGAGTTCAGTAAGCTCTGTAGGAACACACAGAGATGTAATCCAGCTTCCAGCCTTGACTCACTGTATGGTCATGGGCAGTCCACTCGTCCTGCCTCAGCTGCCCTATCTGTGTGGAAATGGCACTAAGACCTACCACAAAACCCACATCAGTCTAAGATGAGCAAATAAGTAAAAGGGCTGAATAATGCCCAGCCTGGGGTTAGTGTTTTCACTCATGTGGTCGTTCATTACTCATTCTGATGATGACAATGATAACACGGTCATTCCTAAAGAATTTCTCTTTGAATAAAAGTGTAACTTATAATGTATAGTAAAAGGGAAAATTCTAAAACCTTTAATGTCTGCTAACAAAAAGCAAAAAATCGAAATTAAAAAATGGCACTCTAAGTTAACTCAAAGCTTTTCTACAGGAAGAAAATACCACAAGATTGTGAAGGAGAACTTGATGCTAGAAATAAAATAATATGCAGAGTTTATTAAAGTGACTTTCAGAAGTTTTTAAAGTGAGAATTAAAATCCTTAAGAAATCCCCAGGTCTTTGAGTGAGGTTTTTTTATTGGTTTTTTGTTGTTTTTTTTTTAAATTATTTTATTATTCATATGTGCATACAAGGCTTGGGTCATTTCTCCCCCCTGCCCCCACCCCCTCCCTTACCACCCACTCCGCCCCCTCCCTCTCCCCCCTCTCAATACCCAGCAGAAACTATTTTGCCCTTATTTCTAATTTTGTTGAAGAGAGAGTATAAGCCATAATAGGAAGGAACAAGGGTTTTTGCTGGTTGAGATAAGGATAGCTATACAGGGAGTTGACTCACATTGATTTCCTGTGCGTGGGTGTTACCTTCTAGGTTAATTCTTTTTGATCTCACCTTTTCTCTAGTTCCTGGTCCCCTTTTCCTATTGGCCTCAGTTGCTTTTAAGGTATCTGCTTTAGTTTCTCTGCGTTAAGGGCAACAAATGCTAGCTAATTTTTTTTTTCATTTTTCTTTTATTATTCATATGTGCATACAAGGCTTGGTTCACTTCTCCCCCCTGCCCCCACCCCCTCCCTTACCACCCACTCCGCCCCCTCCCTCTCCCCGCCCCCCCTGCTCAATACCCAGCAGAAACTATTTTGCCCTTATTTCTAATTTTGTTGTAGAGAGAGTATCAAATTTTTTAGGTGTCTTACCTATCCTCACCCCTCCCTTGTGTGCTCTCGCTTTTATCATGTGCTCAAAGTCCAATCCCATTGTTGTGTTTGCCCTTGATCTAATGTCTACATATGAGGGAGTGAGTGAGTTTTTTTTTAAGAAAAAATTCACTTATTCACTCATTTATTTATGTGTCGCTAAAGATCAAACCCAGGGCCTTGGGTACACCAAAGCACATCTTCAACACTGAGCTATACTCTCAGTCCTGTTTATGAAAAACTTTTATAGAGCACCTGCCTACCAATTGTGAACCCCTGAGTTTAAACCCCAGTATTGTCCAAAAAAGAAAAACTTTAAAGGTATCCTTTTCTTTCAGCATGTATTAATTGTACAAAGGGGTTTCCCTGAGCTATTTCAATAAATGAATATAATGTACTTTGATCAAATTCACCCCACTGGCACTCTTTCTTATTCCCCCTCCTCCCCTTTTTGAACATTTTTTTTTTCCCTAGTGATACCGGGGTTTGAACTCAAGGCTTTACAATTGCTAGGCAGGTGTTGTACTTCTTGAGCCATGCCTCCAGCTCCCCTTCCCCTTTTAAACAATTTTTAATGGGTTTCATTATTCTATTTTCTTAATGATATCCTTTTTACCTAAGTTCCCCAGAGTGCTACTTAAATGTAATCACATTATTTGGTAACAACTTGAACAGTGGCTCCACCTCCTGGCCAAAATAAATATAGCAGCACCACTAAATACTCACGCAGCATCAGTTTGTAGAGGATTCAGGTATCGTCCTTGCTCTAAATTTAATCTATAAACTTCAGAGCTGCAAAATAATCAAGTCAAAAATCTAGTAAAATACAGTAAACTTTAAGTAAATATAAGCTTTACAAATGTGTACATATGTATCATTCATTAGGCATTACTTTCCTTTGTAAAACTGATACAAAAACTTATTCTAAACCTAAATTATATTATGCATTTGTCCTATATAAAAATAAGTTAAGCCGGGTGCTGGTGCTCACACCTATAATCCTAGCTACTCAGGAGGCAGAGATCAGGAGGATCACGGTTCAAAACCAGCCTAGGCAAATAGTTCATGAGACCCTATCTCAAAAACACCCAACATAGGGCTGGTGGAGTGGCTCAAATTGTAGAGCACCTGTCTAGCAAGTGTGAAGCCCTAAATTCAAGCCCCAGTACTATCAATTTAAAAAAAAAAAAATGAAAGCTTTAGAACACTACGAAATAAGGGTAAGAAACCAAATTCAACAATATTATTCTCCTAGGTTTCCTGTGTAGCTCTCCAGATTTAAAGCCCTATGCTAAGAGAAGTCAGGGTATAATTCATAAATGAGTCAGTCACTGGAACTTAAAGCAACTTGAAGGCAGACACCATGTCTTTCTTTTCTTTAAAGCCCTCTCTCCCGTGCCCCAATTTTTTTTTTTTTTAAGACAGAGTCTTGCTATATAGACCGGGCTGGACTCAAACTTACGACCTTCCTGCCTCAGTGTCCTGAGTGCTGGGTTTACAGATATGTGCTACCATGCCCAGTCAAATGAGTTCAAAGTGGAGTATATAACCTCATATAACATTAGTCACGAGATGGTCCAGAAATTCTTCACTAATACTGAATAAACTTAAAGCAGGAGCTACAAGTTTAATGAAGTAAACAGAACTCTGAGAAACAAAAGAAAAATGAACAAAATTGTGTGTCATAAATGATGGCAACTGAACAATTCTATACAGGTTTATATATTTCCCATTGGTAATTCCTGGCTTAACCACTCTGATAGGTAAGTATCATTAATATTTTTAATGTTACAAAGATTTTATTAAGCAAAATTAGGTGTTAAAATACTATTACACATCTAAATAAAATGTTCCAATATATGGAATATTGGGGTTATTATCCCTTGTTTCAAAGATTAATTTTTTTTTACAATAATCACACTTTACCTCTAAAGGTTATTTAAATAATTATACATAACTAATTTAAGGAAAGAAGTTGGTTGAGTGGGAGGTAGCAAGGAGAAAACAAAGAGTGATTGGATCCAATACCTTGCCCCAACAAAGTACAAATCACAGGATGGATAGTGATAAGAGAAATCTCTTCCAAACTTTGGTATTCTGGTTTTGTAGTAAAAACCTGATTGTGAATGAAATTCAATATATCTATCATTATGTAAGAAGACAATCTGAAAATAAAACAAGAAAATTAGTTTGTTTAGGTTTCTAGGTAAAGTGCTTGTTTCATCATCACTAAAACTAGCAAAGCAAGAAAAACTCTACTCTCTCATCCTTGCTCTTTCTCTGAACACACACGTGTACACATATGCTACTGGGATGAAGAATCAAAACTCTTTATTGGTTCCTTAATGTCCTTCTGCATCCTGATAGCTTTCTATAAACCTTACGTTCTAACCGTGAGAATAAGACAAATGCCCTTCATTTGCAAGGCACCAGCATTTTATAACACACATCACTGCACCTTCAACTCAATGCATAATTTCCTATTTCACCTGGGGGAACAGATGTTAATAACCTCACAATTATCACATGGGGCTGATGAACTCCTTGAATAAATTTAAGTTTAACTACTATATAGGTATCTGAAAAGTCAGCAGATGACATTTAAATGCAAATGTATCAATTATTAGAAAAAGTACAGTATAAAATTGTATGTCCAAAACACAAGATAAATACTATCATAGACAAAAGGCAAAATATACCTCATAGTCCCCAGAACTGAGGACAATACATAAAGCTCTATCAGCTAAGAAAATTCAGTTTTCCTTTAAGATGACATCTGATATCACTAAGAAACTTTATTTTGTTTGTTTTTGTCTTATTGAGTTTGCCTTAACTGGTACATAAAAACATAAAAGGTGTACATAGGGTAATATGATGCTTCATAATCATTTCATTTTAAATTGAATAGGGGCTGTACGGATAATGACAAGAAATGCTGAAAATGACAAGAATTGAAAGATGGACCTCTGGCCCCAAGAAAAGAAATAAATCTATGTAATTGTACTCTGAACTATATCAGAATACTCCACAACCTCTTGCTGGATTAAAAAAAATTAAACATATAATACTGCTGGTTTACTTTTTACTTACAGATAAGAAAATAAAAGCAATCTGGCAAATAAACCTAGGTTAAATTCAATAATCAGAATTATAAATCCACAATGCAAAATGACCTAAACAGGAAGACTGTTACTAATTTTTAAAAATAGAGACAAAGCCCAGGTACTGGTGGCTCATGCCTGTAATCCTAGCAACTCAGGAGGCAGAGATCAGGAGGATTGTGGTTCAAAGCCTGGGCAAAGAGTTCAAGAGACCCTATCTTGAAAAGCCCATCACAAAAAAAGGATTGGTGGAGTGACTCAAGGTGTAGGACTTGAGTTCAAACTCCAGCACCAAAAAAAATAAATAAAAATATAGACAAGGACTGAGCACCAGTGGCTCACACCTGTAATCCTAGCTACTCAGGAGGATCCCAGTTCAAAGTAAGCCCAAGGCAAACAGTTTAGGAAACCCTATCTCAAAAAAAAAAAAATCACAAAAAAAAGGTTAGCAGAGTGGAGGGAGGGTGGGGGGTGGGGGAGAGAGAGAGAGGCTTCATTTGCGATATGGAGAACTAATTTTGATATCAGACCAAAGGCTACCTCTACCAATGTTGTTTAAAGAGATACTACACATTACACATGTAACAAACTAAAAATTTATTAACAGAAAATGATAGATTACCTATTACTATACAGCCATTTTTAATTTAACAATGGGAACATGATAAAAACATTTATTATAAAAATAAGGTCTACTAACACATTTCTTGAGTATAGCAAGTAAAAACCAATGCTTTCAAACATACCTTTGAATAGTCATCAGATAAAATTTCAAAGGTGAGGACTGAAAAATAATAATGGGAAAATGCTATTATCAACATTCTTAATAAAATGCAAACTTGATGCAAAGATTCTAATTCGACCCAGGAATTTTACACAAATACCTTTTCTTCCCACCCTAGAGAAAACAAGGACAAAATTATAATGCTCCCAACATGCCAACTGGAAAGTTAAAAACTTTAGTTTCTGAACATATGTCATCTAAATTTTTTATACAACTGAAAACAAATCCATAAAATGACTCCTAAATTTTCTACCATTTTTATAGACACGTTCAAAATAATTTTAAAACTTTCACATATATATTAAAACACTGTGTGGGGGGGGCGGTGTGTGGGGTACTGGGGTTTGAACCCAGGGTTTTGCACTCACAAAGCAGGCGCTCTACCACTTGAGCCATACTCCAGTTCAGCATCAAAAAACTTTTTTTTAAATGTTGCTTAACAATGGGCCACAGGAACTTTTTGCCTATTTGTAGTTTACCTGCTAAACAAAGTTTCAATGGTACACGAAGTTTCTACTGTTTTCCAGAAGGAAAGGGTGAGACAAGCTAGGAGACTACTTAGAACTCCACAGAAGAATACTGTCGCATTCGGATTTGAGCTGCTAAATGATGTTGTGTGCCACGTTTATGCTCATTTATTATCCAGCAATGGAAACTAATACACAACTCATTCCCACCTTAAAAAGTAGCAAAGGACACAAAAATAAAAATCTACTTTTTACTCTCTTACCTTCTGAATCTAAACACCTTTCAAACTTCAAGGATAATTGATAGGTGTCATAACAACGAACCCGGGGTTTATATGTTCCTGAAAAAAAGATGTGATGTAAAATCTTGCAAAACTGTGAGTATCCTTTTTGTTCAGAGGTAGACAGGATTAATTACAACCAAATCAAAGAAAAGGAATTTAAAAGCAGCCCGTCCCAAACATCCCAAGAGGAAAATGAGCAAAGGATAAACCAGCAAATAATAGAAAATGAAAGATGACAAACTAATTAGTCTTATAAATAAGAGTGGATTAAAACAATGAAACAGTTTTTGTCTACAGAAGGGCAGAGATAAAAAGATGATTAGATCTGTTAATAAGAAGGTTGAAAAGCTGTTCAAACTACTAATTTTGTTGTTGACTAGCACGCATGAATTCTGAGACAATCTGGCCATGTGTCAAAGCAGATGGTGCTTATACACTCTGAAACTGTATTTCCACTTCTACAAATTGGCCCCACACACTCAGCAGTATACCAAACATGTGAAGAAGGTATGCTGCAGCACTGCTTATAAATGGCCAGAAACGGGAAGCAAATGAAATGCACACTGACAGGAAAATGCTAAAATAAACATTGGTAAGTCCACCTAAGGAAACATCCTGATCATAAAGAGGGTGAGCAGCCCTGCAACTCCTGACATGGAAATCAGCCGACATGTGTTACAGAGAGAGAGAGAGAGAGAGAGTGAGAGCAGAGAGCAGAGGTGGACGCTGCCGACAGCACACATGTGCAACTCCACACTAAACACTGATGACATCGGCCCCTGCGTAGGAAAAGCAGGAACTTCATGGCGACTGTCCATCGCTGCAAAGTGCAATTTTAGAGCCTTTCACATCTTATGTTATGTATTTCTGCAATGTTTGCATTTTGTATAACTTTACCATGCTTGCAATGAGGAAAAGCAAAGACCAATTTTTAAAACCAAAAAGGCATCTTAGAAAGAAAGAGTTAGTCCTATGCTTTATGGCATGCATCAAAGCCCAAGGTTTCATTAAAAAAGAAAAATTTACATTTTTTTCTGTTCTTTGTTTTTGCCAGTACTGGGTTTAAACTCAGAGCCTTGCGCTTGCCAGGCAAGCATTCTACCACTTAAGCCATGCCCCTAGCCCTAAAAAAGAAAAGTTTAAAAACCAGTAAAATATACCTGGCACGGTGGTACACGCCTGTAATCCCAGCACTCAGCAAGGCTAAGGCAGGAGGATCTCAAGTTTGAGGACAGCCTGGGCTACTCTATCTCAAAAAGCAAAACTAAAGCAAAACAAAAATCAATAAATACACTTTGAGCCCAATGTTGGTGACAAACAATTGTGTACAGGGGTGTGTGCATGAAAAGCCATATGTAAAATTGTTAATACATCCAGGGCCTTCATTCCTTCTTTTTTGTTTTCACTTTTTATTTTTGTATTGTCTATAAGGCTTACTTGTATTACTGTGGTCACCAGAAAAAAAAAAAGTATGGCAAATATTTAAAAATGAATAAAAGCACCCCTCTATTTCTTGCTTTTGCATCCCTGAGAACCAGTAAAAACTAACAATGACACTAAGAATAGATTTGAATTGGGTGTGATCATAAACCTAATACTTCCAAAAGGAACAAGAGGCTGGTGAGTTCTGTAACAGATCAATGCTTAGTACATTCCCTGGGCTTGGTTTATTTCCTCAATTAGAATGAAACACCTCCAAGGACAAATCTTGTTCAACTTGTTTAGTCACAAGACCTAGAACATCACAGGCAATCTATGAAAGAGCAGAGACCAAGTTCAAGATCAGGCCGGAAGAAAGACCTCTGTTGACTTAAATGGAGAAGTGACGCCCCAAGTCCACTTTCTCTACCAATTGGAGAAAGGCCCCGAAAGAAAGTAAAACAGGAAGACCCTGCACCCAACTGCCTATGTGTCCAATATGGCAGCTGCTAGTCACACACAGCTATTTAAGTTAAAATCAAATAAAATTAAATTTTCAGTTCCTCAGATTCACTAGCCATGTTCTTGGTAAGAAACTCTTAAGATAAAAATAAAAACAAAGGATCCTGAATAAGGAAGCAAGCAATTAATTTTGTGTGGGAGTAGAGAGTGACTACATAATTTAACAGATTTAACATCTTACTTAGTCTTACCCTGGCTCACTGAGGTACCAGATTTGTAAGCCTAGACAAGTAAAGCATATTTATAAGTTTATTCCAATCCTCAATGATGATCTCCATGTACCTTGGAGATCCACATCCTCTTTTCCAGTTTCTGAAGATAACACTGGAGGTTAAGCGACATGGACAGTGTTACTCCTGATACAACCATTAGTACAGAACAAGAAACAGGCCTGGATGTGGATGAATGTGTTAAAACAGAAAGTGGCTGGAAAAAGTGTCTAGATAGGATTAAACCAGAAAAAAATGTCATGGACAATATAGCATTGCACCAAAATCAAAACCAAAACAGACTGGATGGTATTTTTCTACACACATTATGACACATTAGAAGTTTCCTAAATTTCGTGTTCTTAGATCACAAAACAATACCATTAATGTAAAATCTTAGTGATAAAAATTACTAACGCAAGATACAGTAAATTATGTTAAAAGTGACCTTCCCCAGAACTCTTCCTTGTTGGAGGAAGTGTGAATGATATCACTGCTTCAGAAAAGGGTCCAGCAGTTTCCCATAACTAAACATACACCTACTCTATGATCCAGCAATTCTGTTCCTACATATTTATATATTTATATTTATGAAGTAAAAACAGACATGCATAAACTGTTCACGGTGCTTAATTAACAATGCTGAAAACTTAAAGTAACAAAGGTGTCCATCAAATGGATAATGGATAAATAAATTATGGTATATGCATATAATGAAATATTTGGTAATAAAAAACACACATAATACATATAACGACATGTCTGAATCTCAAATACAAATCTTCGGTGAAATAAGTCTTATAAAAAAAAGAACACAGTCAAGTGCTGGTGGCTTATGCCTGTAATCCTAACTACTTGGAAGGCTAAGATTGAAAGATCATGGCTCCAGGCCAGCCAGGCAAATGGTTCGCAAGACATCCCCCAAAGTAAAATGGACTGGAGGTGTGACTGCTTTGCAAGCGTGAAGCCCTGAGTTCAGACCCCAGTCCTACCAAAAAAATTTAAATAAAAAAAGAACACACAGTTTATGACTGCATTTATACAAAGTTCTAAAGTTCAGGCTAAATTTGTCTATAGTGAAAAACATCAGAGCTATGGTTCCTCTGCATGGCTGGATGCAGGGACTCGTCGCAAAAGCCATGTAGGAATTTTCTGGGTGAAGGGCATGTTCTGTATGGTGAGAGGGATTGGGTGTGTGCATTTGTCAAGCCTTAATAAATGAAGCCAGTGTGGCTTCCCAGCACTAGGGAGGCTGAGGTAGAAGGATGGCAAGTTCGAGACCAGCATGGGCCACACAGCAAGACCCTGTCTCGAAAAAAATTAAAAATAAATAAAATAAAAGCCTGGCACTGGTGGCTCATGCCTATAATCTTAGCTTCTTGGGATGCTGAGATTGGGGGGGATCACAATTCAAGGTCAGCCTGGGTAAACAGCTTGTGAGACCCCACCCCCAAAGATAACGACAGCAAAATGGCTGAAGTGGTAGAGTGCCTGCTTTGCAAGTGTGAAGCTCTGAGTTCAAACCCTAGTCTCACCAAAAATAAATCAATAAAAGTTTAAAAAAAAAAAAAAAAAAAAAAAGCTGGGTGTGAGGAATAAAGGAGAATGATGGAGGGTGTGACTTGAACTATTTTAAGAACTTATGTAAATGTCACAGTGTATCTCCAGTACAACAATAATATGATAATAAAAAAAGCTACTTAAAAAAAATTAAGTTCTGAAAAAAAAATTTTTTACAGAAAAGCTGGTATCTGCAACTTGCTCTGAAATGCATTGAAAAACAAGATGGAATGTTGAATGGACAGAAAGACAGATCAACAGATATGTGGGAAAGCAAACATAGTAAATTATTTATTACAGAATCTAGGTAGCAGATAAATGGATACTCACTGGACAACTTTTTCAGTATTTCTACATGTTTGAAATTTATAATAACTTGTGCTCGCTTCAGTAGCACATACACTAAAATTTTTAATTCATAATAAAAACACATTAGGGTACAAAAAAAAAAAAAAAGGCCTTTCTAACCACAAGATTTCCTGCTATGAAATGTATATAAGTCAAGTCATAACCAAAAAGGTACTTACCAGTTGCTAAAATATATTGTCCATCCTTTGACACCTTAATAGTAGTACACACAGTAGGCATTTCAAAATCCTGAATAAGTTCAATTCTCCTACGGACATCTGCAAAGAGAAAAAAAAGAACAACTAGTTTAACTTACATGTGTTTATTCTTCATCATAGGAAGACAAAGCATACTGAACAGTCAGAGCAATTACAAACAGGTAATTTACATCCAAAGGGTTTTCTGGCCTTGAGAGGGGACACCAGTGCAGCCCACACACTAAACAGCAAGGTTTTTTCCTTAGCTCATATATTAGTTTTCTAAGCTAGGTGGTGTAGTTGGATCTGGAATGCACCCAAAGACACACACATTAAAGGTTTGGCCCTCAGTCCCTAGTGTTTTTGGGAGGTAGAACCTGAGAGGCGGGGTCAAGCAGGAGGTCTTAAGTCACTGGAGGCAAACTCTCAAAAGAGATTATGGCACACTGTTCTCTTCCTCTCTTCTTTTGTTCCCCAGCTGCTAGATGGTGAGCAGCTCCCTCCACCATGCACTTCCACCATGATGTGCCCCCTTGCCACAGGCCCAAAAATCAATCGGACCAATCAACTATGGACTGAAACTTCAAAACTGTGAGTCAAATAAACCTTTATTATTTCCAAGTTGATTATTTCAGGCATTTTAAGACAGTAATGGAAAGCTGACTAGCACATTATCTATTTTGCTTTCACGTTTTTAGAAGAAAAAGTATCCTGACAATTACAAGGCCTGAGTTCAAACCCCAGTACTGCCAAATAAGTTAAATTTTAAAATAAAAAAGAAATACAGAGAAGGCATCCTCATTAACTAGAAAAAGCAATCCATGAAAATGTGTCATCCAGTTTTAAGACCTGGATAAGGGGCAACAGAATAAACATTAAACCACTACCATTATTCTATCACAGCTACGAGTCTTAGTAACTAATTTCTTTTCCCTTAAACAATACCAGGTTTAAGACTCCAAAATCTTAGATTTACATAAGAAATTAGGACCAGACTGGCTACTGTCTCTTTTGGCACAATGTCCTTGTGGCCAAGAAGATCCAGGCTAGAGGAAGACTTAGCTAACTTCTCTCAATCAAAATGGTAACACTAAGTCTCACACAAACCCATTTCTTCCAGTAAGAAGGTAAGGATTCTGACTGGTTGCTATGCAAATACTATTTTTTTGTTATGTAAATCACACTATGACATATTACTGCCTTGTTTATTAAATCCAAATATAAGATTCAAAGAGGGTCTGGGATGCAACTTAGTGGTAGAGTGTGTGTTTGATGTGCCCAAGGCCCTGGGTTCAATCACCAGCATCACCATCAAAAAAAAAAAAATTCAAAGGATGATCCACTCAATTTACAAGACATGTAGTAGTTTTGAGATGAATCAGGAGAAACAGTCAATGAACAATTATTGTCCCAAATAATGTGAATCTGTTTTGTTGCACATATGAATGCTGAGATGTGACAATCAGATAAAGTCAGAATCTATAAGCACTAAGCAGCAATTTCTGTTTCCTTTTGATTTAAAATTTCATCTTTTACCTTTAGTACTATATACATGAAACCCTTCAACACATCATTTTTAGAGACTAAGTCAAAATATATGGGAAGATAAATCTTTCATCTGTGACAAGTCATAATGGAAAATTTTTAATGAAAATTTGTTCGCTAGCTGGACACCAGTGGTTTGCACCTATAATCTTAGCTACTTGAGAGACTGGGATCAGAAGGATCTCGGTTCCAGGCCAGGCTGGGCAAATAATTCACAAGACCCCATCCCCAAAATAACCAGAGCAAAATGTACTGGGGATGTAGTAGTGCCTGCTTTGCAAGTCTGAAGCCAAGTTCAAATCCCAGTCCCACCAAAAAATATTGTTCACCAAAATGAGTTATGAATTGACATTACATTTCTATTTTTTGTTCCATAAGTTAGAGAACCAAAATCTATCTATCTATCTATTTATTTATTTATTTACTTATTTAATTTATTTATGGTGGTGCTGGGGCTTCAGGGCAGGTACTCTATCACTTGAGTCAGCCCCTGCAATGATCTTTTATCATTTATGTTCACACAGCCTATGTGTAAAATTCTTTTGCTTAGAAAATGCTTATTGTCTCTAAATCTCAAAAACAAACAAACATATTTAACTCAGGGAAAAGACTGTGATGCAGTGGAAAAGAAGGCAATTGTGGAAGGGTAGGAAGAGACGGTCCTCCTAGGGCTCCTGTGCTCCTACACATCTTTCTGGCCACTCCTTTACATGAGTCCTTCTCCAGGTTACTTATGCAGTTGGGAACCTTGACAAATGACATCCCCTCTGGACAAGGAGCAGGCTTACTTGTTTACTGCCTGTTATAAAAGCAGTAAGCTCACCAGATCAGGGCTCCCCAGATGCAACACAACCCACTGTGTTACTGCAGCTTCTGGGCCTTCTGAGTGCTCCCCTGGGACTCAAGGGGGGGAACTGGCACAAATATTCTGACCCTCATGTCATTTATGCTGTGCCCTTTAATACAGTCCTCATCTCTGACCCAGGAGCCTTGCTATATTCCATGAAATGGTTAAGAGGCTAACTCATTAGTTTGTAAGTAAGGCAAAACCATATTCCATACCCACCAAAACGTCATAACAAGAGGGTTCTTAAAAGGGGCAAAAATGTTTATTTTTCTACTCTATTAATCCTGCTCATTTTTGTAACCTCATATATGTGATAACAACAGACGAGTGAAAGCATTATAACATGAATCATTACTGTAGCTGAAGCAAGAAAAAGCAGTTAGTACTCACCAACATCCTTCTTCTGCAGTGCTCTCTTCTTTCTGTCAGAAAGCCACTTAAAGAAAATGAAGAGACTTCATTTTAAAACAATTTACCTAAAATTGTTTTCTGCTTACAAAAACAGAGGTTCATATTACAAAATGCATGCTTACAGGAGTATATAACATAGAGAGTGAAAATATTCTGTAATCTTAACCCCACTGTTAATCTATTTCCTGGATTTTTTCTTTTTTTTTTTTTAAATATGGAACGCTTCACAAATTTGCATGTCATCCTTGCGCAGGGGCCATGCTAATCTTCTCTGTATCGCTCCAATTTTCGTACATGTGTTGCCGAAGCGAGCACAGATTTTTTTCTTTTATATACTTACATGTACAGACATAAATTTTTTGCACTCCTATGTTTTTCAAGAGAAAAGTAATTCATGTAACCCAGCTAAGGGAATGCAGTAAGCCTCATGAGTTATAACTCATATCTGAATCAGTTGCATCTATTTAAGTGAAATTACTAAAAGTAAAACATTAAAAAGAGAAAGGTATACACATCTACGTGTGTGTGTGTATCTACGTATATAAAGAAAGGGACAGACCTACCTCTATATCTTCAGATCAGATAGACACATACATACATGCACAGATATGTTGTTGCTGCTGTTTGTTTGAGACAGGGTCTCACTATGTAACCCAGACTGGCTTTGGACTCATGATTCTTTTGTCTTAGTCCCCCCTCCCAAGTACTGGAATTATAGGTGTGCCATCACAACACCCAGCTATTCTTTTTACAAAGAATAAAACCAAATAACAAACTGACCTAATAGCTGCAACTGGATAGTAAGTGGTAGTTTCCACAGTCACATTCACTGATACCACATTTTGCTCTGTACCCCAGTTCAGTAAGTAGCATAATTCCATTACGTGAACAGGCAACAATGAAGCAGCACTTTTCAGTTATGATTATCCTAAAGTGATGGTTCTAACTCAGGGTCAGTTTTGCTCCTCAAAGCTCATCTGGCAACTCCTATAGATATATGAGGTTGTCACAACACTGAGGTATAGCCCTGGTATAGGTTGAGGTGCTACCAAATATCCTACAATGCAGAAGACAATCCCTAACAACAAGAAATTGTCCAGCTCAAAATATCAATAATGGGAAGTAATGAAAACAAAAAAAATTAACATGTCATTTTGTGGGGGGCAGAACTGGAGTTTGAACTTGGTCCCGCACTGGCTAGACAGGTGGTCTACCACTTAAGCACTCTGTCGGTCCTTTTTGCTTTAGGTATTTTCCAGGTAGGGTCTTGTGTTTTTTGACTGGGGTGGCATCAGACCACATTCATTCTACCATGGACTCCTAGGTATCTGGGATTACAGATACACTACCACACCTGGCTTGCTGGTTGAGAAGGGGGTGTTGCTAACTTTTTGCCCAGGCTGGCCTCAACCTGGAACTTTGATTCTTCCAATCTCTGCCTTCCAAGTAGCTGGAATTACAGACATGAGCCATCACACTCAGCCCTTAACATGTCATTTCTAAAAGAACAAATCTAATGTTCCTTACTACACATAATATTCTTCAGAAGTCTCTGGTCATGCAGACTCACTACTCAAGACAGGAAGTACAATACAGGAGGCAGTGTCTACATTTGGAACAGGATAACACATTGAAAGCCTGGGTTAAAGCTAGGACTTTCCTCTTGTCTTTGTGAGTTTTGTTTTTGGTTTTTATTGTGGAACTGGGATATGAACTCGGGGCCTCACGCTTGCTAGGCAGGAGCTCTACCACTTGAGCCACTCTGCCAGTCCTGTTTTTTGTGATGGGTTTTTTCAAGATCGATTCACATGAACTATTTGCCCAGGGCTGGCTTCAAACCATGATCCTCCTGATCTCTGCCTGCTGAATAGTGAGGATTACCCAGCTCTGTTTTTGTATTAAGTGCACTGATTTATAGGATTCTGCTAGTCTTTGTGACTATTGCCTAGATTTTATTTCAGGCAATAATGTTTCCGTTAAAGGTGATGTGAAAGTATGTTTTTGGGCATTCATTATGTTCCTTCATGTAAGCAGAACAAAGGTATATCACCAGAGCCCCTCACCCCTTACCAGGATTCAATTCCTCTTCTCAGGAACTTATGCTCAAGAACAGAGCAGTTCATATAATCACAAGTCTTAACCATCCTGGGCAAACAAGTATAGGGCAAAGAGGAAGAGACAGTTTCCATCTACATGGATGCCTGGAACCTGAAAGGGCCAGAAATTCTCTAACACAGTGAAGATAGTACACATTGATAGCACACTAGGATCGATAGCACATAACACTCTCTGAACACTTTCATCCATAACAGTGCTCTGTTAGTTATCTATCACTCAAAGCACTTTTCATTACTTGAAATTGTCTTCTCATTAGCTCATTTATCATTTTTCCCCCAAGAGGGAAATTTATCTGACATGTCAATTATGTGCCCTAACACTTAAAACAGGGCTGTCTTGACTTGAGATGTAACCAATGCTAGAGGGCTTGCCTAGCATGCAATAAGGTCCTGGGTTCAATCCCCAACACCATCCAAAAAAAAAAACCACACACACACACAGAGGCCTACACATACTAACTCCTTGATAAATGTGCAGAATGAAGGAACAAAGTGAGAAAAATCACGTTCTGTGAAGAACAATTGGCAAGCAAGGAATAATTTAAGCCTGAATTTTGAGAAGGAAAAAAAACCCAAGTGCTGGCTCCAAATTTTTCATGGGTGAGGGCACATGGAAGAGCAAGATTCTCTTTTCCAAGGGCCAGACACAGATGGACAATGACACGTTACATCCAGGAGCATGTTTTGTTTTTGTTTTTGAGACAGGGTTTCACTGTGTAGTTCAGGCTGGCCCCAAACTTGAGCTCCTCTTGTCTCAGCCTCCCCAGACTGAAATTACAGGCATGCATCACCTGACAGGGTAATTAGCACGATTTGAAGCCACTTTCTACCAAGCGCAGAGTCTCAAACTGCAAATGAGCTTCTGCCGAGTTTGCTCTCATCAGAAGTGCTTGGACAGAGGCTCCATCATTATTTTTAAGAAATTAAAAGCAAGCTTCAGGGCCTAATGTATAATCCTGGATAAGTCATCTTCCCTTTGCTAAACCTCAGCTGCATATTTTCAACATGAGAAGATTCGAAGAGTTACTGATTTGTCCAAGCCCCTTCCAACTCTGATATCAAGCAGAGCAAGGTTCAATTATACTGCCCTGTACACTAAAAAGTGTGCAGGCACAAAGTCTGCATCTCTCTCGTCCACTACTGTATCCCTAGGACGCGGATATAACAGGAACTCAATAGAGAGCAGACTGATGAACGGGTTTTCCAATGGAGGAAGAGATGTCTGTCAACCAGTCTGAGAATGTTCTCCTCCTCGGCGTGGCAGGGTCTGTGAACGCCCGCAGAAGCCCAAAGGAGACGCGACCTCGGCACTGGGAACTTCACCAACGTTCCAGCAAAGCTCATGGAACCCGAACATCTCTCGGCCAGCTTCTGGCACGGTGACAGTAGTGCTCTGGTTCCCAGCGCACCGTCACTGGCCTCCAAACCTCCCCGAGTCCGGAGCTGGTGAGGGCCCAGCTAAAACAGAGGCCAGAGCAGAGAGCGGCAGCTGCCCGGCGAGGACCCGAAGAGACCGAGTGAGGGGGCCCGGGAGGGACTCACCTCAGGAAGGGACTTGCCGCAGCTGAGACTGTAAATCTTCACCTCGTTGAGGCTGGACACCTGCATGGTGGTGCCGAGAAGCAGTGATCCCTCCTGCAGTCCGGGCTCCTATCCCACCTGTGCAGCACAGCACCCGAACCCCCAGGCACTCGGCCGCGCGGCGGCGTGCGACAATGGCGCGGGATGATGACGCATTTCCCCCCTGGCGCCGGAAGTGCTCGCCTGCCGGAAGAGGGGCGACGGCGGAAATAAGGAAGAGGAGAAGCCGGGTGGTGGAGTGCTGTTAAGCAGGGCTGCGGAGTCTGACCGCAACACAGGTACTGGCAAAAGCAGACCCCGCTCTCCCTCTCAGCATCCCTAGTCACAGAAAGCGACCATCGGATCGATGCCCAGGCTGCGATGTCGTCGTCCCGGACGGGGAGGGTCAGACTCTTCCAGTGTTTCTGCAGCATTACTTTAGAAATAAATAAATGCTCTTTAAAAGTGACGTGTTGGCTGGGCGAAGTGGTGCACGCCGATAATCCCAACTAGGGAGGCAGAGGCAGGAGGATCGCGATTCAGAGGCCAGCTTCAGCTACATTGGAAGACCCTGTCTCAAAAAACAAACAAAAAACTGGCAGGTTAATAATACGCTATTTTCTCCTGCACTCGATACAGCCCCTCACATACGCATCGTTTTCAGAAAGTTTTCATAAAATTTCTCTGCCGATGGATTAGTATACAGAGAACTGCCTCTACTGTGTTGTAGATCTGAGGACTTGAGAATTCTGGGTTTAGCTAGATGTAAACTTTGGGGGAAGATGTAGACTCACTGTGCAGTTAACAGGTGCGTTTGAAATCGAGGCACAGTACCCACTTCTTACTAAATAGTGCTTGCATTCTTCCAAATCATAGACTGGAAAAAAGAGCCGAATGAAGAAGGTTCCGTGTCGCAGAATAGCCCTGCCCTTCCACTCTACACTGCCTGATGAATGTAGCCCTCACTTTAGGGACAGCAGCACTACTTGCAATGACTCAGTACACAGTGTCTCCAAAATCAAAAGGGGTCTCAAAAGCCATTTATTCCTTCAAAATTCGAGACTTGTCTGGGCTCCAGATCCCAGTTCCTGCCTCTGAATATTACCACCATTCTTACTGGCCTCCAGAAGTAGCATGTCCACATTAAATTCCTCAACTGAGCTCACATTCTCTGGTGCTCTTTTTCTTGGTTCATTACATTCCCACTGTCTTCACAGCCACCCAGGCTAAAACTGTAGTCCTCATCAACCTGTACTGTTCTGGCCTCCACATTCAGTATCTGATGTTGGCATTTCTAAGTTTGAAATATTTTTTTAAAAACTTTCACTCCTTCCCAAATTCAAATATTCATCATTTTTGGATTGTCACATTTCCAACTGATCTCCCTACCTCCTGTTTTTGATTAAATGCATAAATCCTTTTACCACCATACTTTCTAAAACCTGAACAAATCATTTCATCCCTTTGTATCTGAAGTAGACTGAGAGTTCTTCCTGGTCTATGTATCATTTTTGTTTATATGGACCCCTACTGGTTACCAAAGCAGACTGTATTACATTTAGCAATGTGAATGGGGAGGAATTTGTAACTTCTGTCCTCTTTCCTCAAATTCAAAACCCTCCATGAGCTAATTCAATTTTCTGCAAAGGGCATCTATTGCATTTATAGTTAAGAAAAGCAAACTAGAGTTGTCATTGAGAAAGGGAGCACAGTAGAACACTGAAGATCACAGACTCTAGCCAGACTGATAGGATTCAAATCCTGACTGCCATCTTTAGCTTAAGGACCTTAAATAACTTACTGTGCCTTTCTGTGCCTGTATGAAATGGAGATAGCAATAGTATCTACTTCATAGAGTTTTTAATGAGGATGGAATACATTCATGTTTGTAAAGTGTTTGGAACTCAATGCCAGGCACAGAGTAAGGATATGTTTGTAAAAGAAAACTGAAAACAAATGTCACATACTAAATAGATATAAATTTATCCAAATTTCATTAGCATTTTCTTTTCAGTGTAAAAGTCATCTATTTAAAACATATGCAGGGATGGAGGCAAAGCTCAGTAGTAGAGCACTTGCCTGGCATTTTTAAGGCACTGAATTAATCCCCAGCACAAATTAATCCCATTCATGAGGGCTCCACCCTTAAGATCAAATGGTTTGGATAAGAAATGTCCCCAAAAAGGGCTCATGTGTTGAAAGCTTGGTCCCCAGTGGTTAGCAATATTGAGAGCGGATTGGACCATGAAGACACTAACTTCATCAATGGGTTAATCCTTTGATGAGTTCACAGCTGAATGGGCTGCTAAGAGGCGGAGCCCAGTTGGAGGAAATAGGTCACTGAAGGGTGTATCTTATCCTGGGGTATCTCTCTCTCTTCTCTCTTCCTCTCCCTCTCTCTCTGCTTCCTGTCCACCATGATGTAAACAGTCGCCTCATCTCCTGCCACTTGATGTTCTGCCTCATGGCACTAAAGCAATGGAGTCAGTCAACCATGAGATAAAACCTCTGAAACCATGAACCAAAAGAAATCTTTCCTTTCTTTGAGTTGTTTTCTCAGGTATTTTGTCACAGCAACAGAAAGCTAACACCTAAATGAAGGGTCCCACCCCTAATACTGTTGCCTTGGGGTAGGATTTTAACATTTGAATTTGGGGAAGAGACACAAATATACAGACCATAGCAGTCCTCACCCCGACCCAAAGTCCCGCTTTTCTGTTCATTTCACACTTAGTGATGTTCAAAACAGCACAGCTTTGTGTGTATGATTCCCTATCAATTCAAACCCATCCACTAATACAACTCATCTCTCCAACAAGAGCAGTGCACTTTAGAGTCAGGAAGTGACACAAGGGAACATGTATTTTCTCTGAGATACAACAAGGTGCACTTGGGCCTCAGTACCAGTGCAGTTCCCTCTGCACAATCATTGGCCTGAGGGTTTGACCTGCTTCATTTGGGCTGCTGCTTTTAGCCGAACATAGAGCTGCAGTGTGTTAGAAATGCCATTCCCAAACAATGATCAAAGAAACACTTGGGAGTCGCTCAGCAAGGCAAAAAGTTTACTTCTACAGAAGGGCGCAGTCGCAGACCATAGTCTGATAGGCAGAACACACTGAGAGGGAGTCAGCTCAGTTTTTATCTCTCTCTGCCCCTCACCCTGATGGATAGGTTTGGGTTCACAATCTTTGATTGATTGGTTACTTAGAAAAGGGGACATGTGGGGTTCAGGGAACCTTGAAGCAGGGAGAAGAAGAAAATTCTTCTGGGCAATATTCATCTTTAAGCAAGTAACTTGAGATTAGGACATCTGGTGATAAACAGCTCTTTGTTTGACCACAAGAACCTTGCAAGGTCAAGCAACATTTCACAAAGCATGTAGGCAGCAATTTGGGGAGGTTAGCTAGCATCTACACAATGACAATTTTACATTAACTCCTTTGACAGAAAAGACCTGACTTTAGTTGATTCTCACAAATGCAAGGTGCAACTTATCCAGTGTTTGTAGTATCACATCTAACACAGCATCACATCTAACACAGAACTTGAAGGAATGTGGCATTCGATGCTTATGCTTGGAGCTAAGAGCACAGGCTCCAGAGCCAGACTTGGGTCTGAGCCAGGCTTCCAGTCTAAACACAGGCTCTACCACTTGCTACCCTTAGAGATCAAGTTAACCCTCTTTGCCCTTTTCCTGCTTTGTAAAACGAGGTTGTTGTGAAAATTACTGAGTTTATGCCATGAATCACTGATTCTAGGACATCTATTTTTAACATTCCTGAAATGAGGACGTTGTCCTGTGTATCATGCATGTTTAATTGACAGTATTTTTCCCATAGTGATATTTGTGGTAGTGGTCCATTATATAGTTAGTAGACTTTTATTTATCATTAATTTTTGTTTGTGGTACTGGGGTTTGAACTCAGGGTTCTACATTTGCTACTCTACCACTTGAGCCAAGCCTCCAATCCTGTCATTAAGTTTTGAAGAGCTCACTGTGTTGCCCAGGTTAGGCCTGAACTCCTGGGTTCAAGTTATCCTCTGCTTCAGCATCCCTAGTAACCAGGACTACTAACATGGGTGTACACAACATCTGTGGACTTTAAATTTGAAACAATCCAGTACGTATTTTTTAAGTGCCTTATACAATAAGCACTACATAATTCTACTAGGGAATGAAAACATTAAAAAATGTTTAAGAAAAACTAGTTAGGTTATAGAGTCCAACCAACCTGAAGTGTTCTGCTACTAGTTGCTATTCCAGAAACCTTCCAATAGCCTTCCCAATTCCTCTCCCACATCGTTACCTCCATGGCCAGTGGGTCTCCAAAGCCTTGGGATTCTATCTTTCAGATGTCCAATCTGGTCTTCTCTGCTCTCATTGCTGCTCAAAGTCAAACCTCCTCCTCTTTGCCGCTCTTCCCCATTGCAGTTCCCTTTTCTTGTCTTCTGTCACCCATGAAAGACAAGGTCATCTGACAGGCAAATCTGGTCATGGCACACAACTACTCAGAACTCCTCAATTCTCCCCCACAGAGCCAAAAGAACACATCTGAACATCTCTGCTGGCTCACTTTCACGCATGGCCCTGTCCTTCTTTCCCACCCGTGTTCAGTGTTGCCTCCTTCCTGCCACTCATTCACTAAACTCTCCCCAAATCCAGACTTCCTTACAGCTTGAAACCCATGAGACCCACCCTCTTCACACCCTCGCACCTGCTCTTCTGGTCATTATTAATACCACCTGGCTGGGCAGGTGGCTCATGCCTGTAGTCCCAGCTACTCAGGAGGCTGAAGCAGGAGAATCACTTGAGCATAGGAGTTCTGGGCCAGCCTGGGCAGCCTATCTTACAACTCCATGCCTCCTGCACACCTGAGGAACCCATGCCTCCTCCTGCAGCTCCAGGACACCTTGGATATCACTGTGTATGATAGCAGGGCACTGCGTCTTACTCTGGGGTTTACACTTGTATTCTCAAAATAAACTTTAGGGGTTCTTTTCATTTCAAAGGTAATCTTTTTAGCAATTGATATGTACATACCTGATTCTCTGCTTGGCTATCTTCTGAGAAGTGCTGCTGCTTGATTTCAAGTTTATATTTAAAGTCTCAGTTCACCAGTGCCATATGCCA